AATGAATATGGCCACTTGAGGTATCAGTGCAGAGAACTGGAATACAGATATGGCATAGACAGTGCAAACTGGTGAAGCATCACACCAGAAGGTAAAACCACTACTACTAGTTTGGCGATGTATTTTGCAATGATGAATATGGAATAATGTTTCAGTAAATTTTGTTGGCCCATTTTGATGAATGGTAAGATTCAGAGATACAGGCAACTATGCAAGTGTTGTCCATGAAAGTATGGTTGGAACAAACCAGCTCATTGATAAGATAGTTCAGATTTAGACACTGAATGATATTGTTTGGACCCTCCATAAAATAAAGATTGAGATAGGAGATAAAACCTTAGGCCTAAAAGAAGCACACAAACCAAAAACGATTGAGGTCAAGGTAACTAAGAGCCATTTACCATTAGGCATCAACATGATTTTAGAGACAAATTTGTTTGTCCAATCCAGCAGGTTAAATGACCCATTGATAGATTCAAACAGAATTCAGAAGTGAAATCTAATTTATGGGAGACTGAAAAATCTGTAAGACATGAAAATAGTATATTTGCGTTGACAAGGATACAAGCTCTAGAAAGAAAAAAAAGGAAAAAGAATCGTCGACTAATATTTAAAATAGAATTAGACATGAGTGTAAAGAGAAAGGGTTTGATACAATGGTTAAAAAAGGCTAATTTTTCAAGTCAGTCCATAAGGATAATAGCCCAGAAATCAGACATGAGAACATCCAAGTACTTGGAAATGGGAACAAAAAGACAGTTAAATATTACATAGTTTGGTGACAGGAAACAAGAAATTTAAGAATGATCAAGAAAAGGACTCTAATCTTGAACAATGGTGGACTACAGCCAAAAAGAGATGAAGTGGCAGGTTCGTTATTATCCAGGGATTAGTATATATAGAAGGATGATGTATATAAGGGGTACTGAGGCAGAGTATGTTACTGAGAGTTCAACAGATAGCAAGTGATGTATTTTACAAATAAGAGACCAATGTCTGGTCCTATGTGGAATTAAAATGACAAGGTCTTAAACTAAGCAGCCTTTTACATGACCAAATATCACAAAGAATGTAATGCATTATATTAAATTATGTGCAAAACTACCAAAAGCAAAACTTAAATAAAGCATTACTACAACCTGTCTTAGTGATTAGCAGACTTTTAGGAAATATCAATGTATATTGTAGAACCTCTTGATCCCTGATTGAGAAAAGGTCATAGATTAATTTTGGTGGTTACAGACAATGCTACCTGTTATCCTGAAGCAGTAGCTCTGTCAACAAGGGGTGCAATCTGTGTGACCGATGCACTTTTGCAGACATTTTGATGCTATGGGTGTCAAAAGCTAATATGCTTTACTGCCCAAATGATGCAACAGCTAAGTCACAAACTAGGTACTGACACCAGTTTTGAGTGTTTACTTTCCAGAGGGTAATGAAAAAGTTGAATGAATCATACTCTGAAGGCACAGTACATAATACTCCCATTCTTGCTGGTTGCTTACAGAGAAGTACCCAATGTTACCACAAGGTTTAGCTCATTTGAGCTGATATTTCGCAGACGAGTGAGATGACTAAAGAAAATACTTAAAAGTGTTGGGAAGGTAGAAGCACGAAAGAATTAGCTCTTACCACAGTGGATGAACACTGGCGTAAGTTACGGAAACGAATGACTAGTATGATGGAATTGGTTCAAGGCAATGTATCTACAGCCCAGGCTAACCAAAAGAGGTAGTGCGATATAAACATTCTCGCCAAATTGAACTGACAGCAGAACAAAAGATTCTAGTATTACTGTCATCTATATTCAACAAACTTCATGCTAAGTGACATGGCCCTTACACAGTTAAGGCACTTGTCTCTTGTGAACTACACTGTGGAGGCGGGCATGTAATGGCAGAAACAGGTTCGGTGCCATATAAGCTATTGTGAAAGAATATGTAGTATGGGAAAGTGACTCAACGGGACATACATCTTAATCACAATATTGTGGGATGTTCCCGAAGAAGGGAGTAATGAAGTAAAACCGAGTATTGGTAAGTGTCTTACCAAAAAGCAGATGCATACTCTATGGCAGGTATTAAAGGACTATCAGAATGTTTGTTTGTGATCAACCAGACTCAACTACCAGTATAACACATGAGAATCCATTAAGTGATGGAACTCCAATTGCACAGAGAGCATAAAAGATACCAGATGAATTGAAAGACCAAGTACAGCATCAGCTATCAAAAATGTTAGAAGCTGGAATAATCCATAAGTCTCAGGGCCATTGGGCATTAACTTTATTTGTCCTAAAAGGTGAGAACAAGATTAGACTATGTGTTACCTAAGACAGTTCAGTGAACAGACCATAGGAGATGCCTATCCTATGTCAACTGTGAATGCATAACTGACATAAATGACAAGACCAGTTTCTTTACATCCATGGGTCTGACCAAAAGCAAATACATTTAGTAGAAAGGAACAAGGCCAAGACTGTCTTCTGTACCGAAATGGATTGTATGAATTTAATGTAATGCCTTTTGGACTAAAGGATACTCTGGCAACCTTTTAAAGGCTTATAAATGAAACAATAAGGGATGTGCAGTAGTATGAAAGAGCTTATATAGATGATATAGCTGTATTCAGTGAAATCTGGGAGAAACTCATCGAACATTCTAGTACATTCTAGATAAACCTAGACAGGAAAGTTTAAAGGTTAAGCTAGAAAAGTGTCATTTTGGTAGGTCTAAAGCATCCTACTTAGGAAATTAGATAGCAAGAGTCATTGCTATCTAAAACGCTAGCTATACAGTTATAAACATTGATGTAAGGGCTTTCTTGAGCCTGGTAGAGAATGTTTATGACCAATTTTTCAAAAATAGCAGGCACTTCGATAGATATGTGAAGGAAAAATAAACCAAAAATGGTTGAATGGACAGAAGAGTGTCGAAATGCTTAAAAGTGCAATTTGCTTGAATCCAATTCTACATAGCCCTGATCCTATTGTCTGCAAGTTGATGAAAGTGCTTGGGGAATAGGGGCTGCTTTAGCCCAGTTAGACAAGGAATATATATAAAAGATTATAGCGAATCTCTGTACAACCTGATCACAATTCCCTGAAGGGGATAAATTATGCTAAGCAGAAAAATGACTGCTTACATCATTAGGTATTACTATTGCAGTGTTATGTCCAAAACATTTCGTATAAAAGAGAATATAAAATACCAATGCAGATGCCCTGTCACGTTCAGAGATGAAACTTATCCAACAACGATAGGTGTATCTTTTGAAACTGACAAAGTAACCCAAGGAGGAGAGAAGATACTGCCTAGCGTGAACCTTAGAACTGAGACTGAAGTGAACGAAAACAGGATTTAAATCAGAATCAGCAATGATTCCTTTCCATAAGTTTTCTTCTTGTTATCTTTATATTCCCTCATCTTTTAATTCCTCAGAAATTGGAAACGTGTGACTAAAATTTAATTATAGGCGATAAATCTGTCTGTACCGTGTTAGCATAATCAGTATATAATTTAATATTTTATTTATATTTATTTATAAGGTTTTATCGGTTACGAAACTTTAAGAATGTACATTTCTGATCTGGTGAAGCTTTCAACGTTATTCGGTGTAGCAAGGAATTTCATGAGGTGAAAGTAAGTTCACTACTAAATGATCACTCAGTGAGCCTTAAGGTGACACCAAAGAAGGGTAAACAATAATCATGGAAACTGCTGATATCGCAAAGACTGGAGGCCTGGGGATAATTTAGGAAGGTCACGAAGAGCAGAAGAGAAAGGGCAAGAGCGAGACTTACGGCTGGAAGACAGTCTCACTCAGTCTGAAAATTTAATTAGACTTGAGAGAGGAAAATATTTGCTTGTTACGTGTTTTGTGTATTTCAGGTAAATAAAAGTTTATGTAGCCTCACGTCCTGCGAATGTTTGATTGACGAGACATCTGTACAATACAAGTACCTCTTAGTGACTGATGAGTAGGTGACAGCTTCTGTACATATATATCGTTAAAAAGTGGCGGCGTAAGAACTTATCATTACAGGATTAAACACTACATTCTCTAAACACGACTTTTCAAAATACCTTCTATGGTGCTATTCAGGTTGCTTACACTTGACAGAGTGTGTCCAATCAGAAGTTTCTGATTGAAAATTAAGTTTCTGTACCTATGAGAAACGCACGTTATAGATTCCATTATAATTTACTAATGCAACGAAAAGAAGCGTTGTGCTGTCAGATATTATTTGTGTTTAAATTAGAATTTAGTATTTCTACCAAAAGAAGCGTTGTGCTGCCAGATATTATTTGTGTTTAGATTAGAATTTAGTATTTCAACCAAAAGAAGCGTTGTGCTGTCAGATATTATTTGTGTTTAGATTACAATTTAGTATTTCAACCAAAAGAAGCGTTGTGCTGTCAGATATTGTTTGTGTTTAGTGGATCGCTCCTGAATAACTTGTAAATCGAAACGTTGAGTGCCTAAGTAAAGAAGAAAGATAACAAACTTGGTGTTATAAGGTAGTTTATTACTAGTATCATATGATGACAGATATTGTACGTGACAGCACCACATAATGCCTGGATTTTGAATGTACTAATAGTTATCACAATCAAACATTGATTTCAAAAAGTTTTCATTCCTTTTATTCAATCACACATGAAGTGTTACAAAATATTTATTCCCTGTGGTTAAAACTTTAATAGAAATTACTGCTTCATTTGACTAGTCAAATAAATATATTATTATTCCTGATAGGAAATTTAATTTATGCACCTATGAAACTGTACTTTATTCCAGTTTTTACCCCAACTAATTTTAAAGTTTAAACAAAGATCAATATTAGAATAGGAATTTTTTCCCTTGATGTATTTATTTTCGCCTTCATATTTTCCTCTTTATTAACAAGTTTAATTTATAATTTTAAATAAAATCACATTTTACTTGTTTCTAAAAAGAGAAAACCTTTGGTTTCCTAAGAAAAACAACATAGAAACGAATAAAGGGAGCGTCAATGAAATAAAAATGAAATGAAATAAAAAACTAGAAATTTTCTAACCCGCGACGAGCTCAGCTGTAAGTTCACAGATTTACATCGCTAAAATCCGGGGTCGATTCCATGCGGTGAAAAAGCGATCATATGGCTCATTGTGTAGTTGTGTGATAAAACAAAACATACCACCCATTCTACTATAACAAAATGTGTAACCTAGCAACACATCATAATAATGATGTAGAATTATATATATTGGTTTAACATACGTTACATCTATGAAAACTGGAAGTAGAAAGAATATGTGATAAATATGAAGTTCAAGTTTGACAGAATATGTTCTTTATATACGGTTCTTCTTAAATAGCTAACCTATAACTAGTTACATAGAAATAACTTATTATTTTCATATACTCATACACACACAAATAATTCGAACTTTAATACTGGAAAACTTTTGAATATTAATAAATACAGCAATTCTACTTGCCTTGGTAAACTAGTTAGTATTTGATCATACAATCATTAGATGTGGTGAGTCTCAGAAGTAAGAACCTAATAGTGACAAAACTACAGCAACTCATTGACTAGATGCTTGGTCACGTAATATTTCCGCCATCCTTTGTCTGTGATCAAACATCTTCTCCATTTAATTTCTATTGGATATAGATTGAACATATAGCAGACGTCCGTTTGATAAGACTGTACAACTAAGTGTTCACTTTTGAAATCAGAAAGAGGATCAAACACAAATTCCTTAAACATGGGAGTTTAAAATCGTATAACATGGACGATGTACTTAACGAATTTAGAGCAATTCATTTTTCGATAATGTTTTATACGTTCCTACGAGACAAGGTAATTCCTTTAACTGTTGTTTCGTAGAAACGTCATTACAGTATTGTAATTAGTTTCATAAGATTCTTTTTTCAGAGCTCTGTTTGTTTAGTTCCCCGGTACAAAACGTCATCTTTACTGTTGAACCTCAACATGAATCACAACTTGCGTTTATAGATACACTGTTACACATTAATACTGACAAGTTTATTATACTAAGGAAGATGTAAATCTCGTAAAATTAAACTGTTTTTAGAGCCACACTTCATTTCTGAGAGCTTTACACCCATTGAGTGGCAAGGAGAAAAGTTGTGTTTTTATTAAAACATCCTCAGGTTTAGAACACCTTTCAGTAGTTAAGTTATGTCTATAAACTGCAATTTTTAAACTGTACTATTATTTTGTACCAGTAAGCATGTATAGTGTTGGTTTATCCGCAGCATATAGTTGGAAATGCAATTAAGATATTTTCAAAACCATAACAGCTATTTTGGCATTTTTTAAAAAGCTGATATAAATGTCTATTTTATGCCTCAACCTTTATGAAGTGTTATAAAGTCATAATGCTAATCCTATTCAAAAATGTCCTGTGAGAGTGACGTAACTGTCCTTTTAGTTTTTTAATGGCCTAATAAACGTTGTCTTAATTTAAAGCTGGTTTTGCTATCCAGAAGAATAAGACTATTTATTAATCAGATTATTTCAGCTGCTGACTCGTCTTTTAAAGTTAATTATTTAATTGAGTCTAGAAGAAGACTACTAACAAAGTAGTAATTATTATTGTGAACTAAGTAAAATGTAGTTCTATGTCATAATTCACTCAAAATTACACTCTAAGAATTCATGGCTATGTCTTATTAATAATGACTTGTTATAAATAATCTCATTGAATTTCACTTATATTTCTTTGAAAAACATAGACGACATTGAATGTAAAGATGATAAAGATGATTCGAGCGCCGATACATCTAATTTTGAAACTTCTAAAACAGATAAAGAGTATGACATTCTCACACTTCTGAGAATCTACAAAATGTACAGATGTGATTCCTTTATGCTGGTGTATCTACACCTTATCAACAGCTTGCAAGCATTCTCTTCTGACCTTGGAAGACGCAGGAGGATGTCTTTCTTCAGTGCTATGACGCCGAGAGGCTGAAGTGACTGAGGATTTGCTGTTATAGCAATGATCATTCTGAAACCAAAAGAAAGACTTAAAGAGAATGATAGCCCTATCACAAATAAAGCCTAAAATTAATCGACAGAATTCAGTAGAATCCCTCCGTTGGAAAGTGTAAGTTATAAAGTGAACAAGATTTATTTTACAGTATGGGTTTTTAAGTAAATTTTCTTTTCGAATTTTATCACAGTCAATTTGATTGTGTCATGCATTAATACAATATTCATAAAGTGTAGAAAAAATTTTGAAATCCTTCATCTGTTACTTCTGTTTTGAAGATAAATGTATATATCGTCGCAATAGATATTAATTTATATCCACTATTACCTAAAATATCTTACATGAGTTTTTAAGAGAGAAAATTGAGAAATATTTAATACCATCTTTGTGTTGAAATATGAAGAAAAATAATTTTTTTTTCAAAATTTGAGCAAAAACATGGGCTATAGCCTTGGCTTTTAGGTGAAAATATGAAATTTTTTTTAAGTTTTAAAAACTACTTTTTTGACGCCAAATTAATAGAAAAATATTGGATAATGCTTATTTCGTCGAAAAAGAAAAAAATGAGGCATTATTCCATTAACGAAAAATACTATGTCCCGTAAAAAGGTTAAGAAAATTGAAATTTTGCTAACACGGAGTAAGAGCAATCGAAAAGGTGGAGTTTATTTTATAACAAGATGTCATGGCCTTTTAGATGTTGGAATTTTGAAATGAAACAGTTTGATGCACAAAGTTCATTGGGTAAGGACAAAAAACATTCACGACAGAGCAGAAAATGGTACATGCTTGATGAATGTACGTCAAGTTGTATATATTGTGTTATTATTTTCCTTATGGGATCTAGTAAAAAATCACTATGTGAATTTAAATATAGTTATTAATGTCGTTTTCTAGATTATTTTTTGTAGGTTACTAAGTGATTCTCCACGTCTTTTACAGAACATTAACCGGACTTTATTGGAAAGATCAGGATATATTTATACAGTGGGGCGTTCCTTCAAATACGAGCCCTGGAGCTACTGCTGACATGGCAGAACGTGTACATTGGGTTCGCGACATATTCGATAAGCTTGTCAAGATAAATGGCCTAATACTGACCGCACCTGTGATTGCTCATTTCA